AAGACTTTGAACTGAACTATGCTGTCCTTTTCTATAATAGAAACCTCACCCACTCTCATGGCCTTCAGAAAAGCTGTCAAGACCTGGCTTTTCCCGCAGGCCTAGGGCTGTTGACTTCATTGTTGAGGTCCAGCCCCGACTGAAATGAATGTATCTGTGTTGTTTTTTAACTTGTCTATTTTATTTTTTATTTTATTTTATTTTCCTTTTCCCCCCTCTCTGTAAGCCGCCTGGAGTCCTCCTGGATTGGGCGGCCTATAAATAAAATTAAAAAGAAATGTTTAATTTACATTCATTGGGCAGGAAAGAAGAGAGTAAGCAGCATACAATGGAGAATACATACTGAAAGGAATTCGCTAGCACAGGCAGCTGTGAACACACTAGGCAACCAGCTAGTGTTTTTTCCATTATGTGCATGCTTGCTTTCTTATAATCCCTTCCTCTCCAATCTCTCCACCTTGCAAGGAGAGGAAAAAAGATCTAGCTGTTTAAAGTTTGCATTACAGGTTTTTGTGGAGTTATGAGGAAAAATGTCTCTTGTAGAACTTTAGATACTATCTCTAGGCCATAAACCATGATTTATAAACCACAGTGCCTCTGTTCAAACTGAAACGAAATGACTTCACACAATAAATATGATTGCCTCATATTCTTCTTAGCTGCAGATGGTTTATATATTATTAACTTCCAACCACATTAATCCACCCTGATGGCTCATCAAGACCATTGGTTTCTATACTTTTGCAAGATTTCCCAGAGCTTGTATCTCAGCCTCCACTAAAAGTTGTTATGAAAGTTATAATGAATTTGTAGTATCTATTAGAGTTAACTACAGTATATGTTGACATCTGCATTGGACTAGAAAGTTATTGCTGAATTAGTGGCTGCCCACTAATGGATATTTCTTGGTGTGTTGCTTCCCAATTTTTTGTAAACTGGAAGCCCATTTATTGCTCCCCTTGGAAGGAGAACCACTCAATATATTTGGTACATGCTTTAGGTTAGTAAACATGTTACAAATTTTATATCTGAATGATTGCACTGTCAACAGTCCCAAGAAACAACTATCCAAAAATGAAATTCCTAATATTGCTAAAGCCTTTATGGAAGGCTCAGATATTTGCATAGTTGTCCTTCCTCTTTTATATAGCTATGATTTTTCAATTCAAAATGAAGAATACCAACAAGGGGTAAGTGTTGACAGCATTTTTGCTTTTTTCCTTCCAATTTCAGTTTGTTTCTATTTCTTCCTTCTTTCTCTAAGTTCCCGGGTACACCATAACACTCCATTTGCCTAATAGATTTTTTGGGGGTTAACCTGTGCAATCATTGTTCATAAAAACACAGCTAAGATCAATTTGGCTACAGGCTTAGCTCCATTTGTTAGTAGTGATCTATATGATTAACCTCTGGTTTCAATTTGTATGAGCTAATTGAATTCATTCTGGAAGTTGATTGAAAGAATTGTTAAGATATAATCAAAATACTGTACTGCTTATCCTTCTCTGTCTATGAATAAATTACTTCCCTCTTCAAAAAACCCCAACTGTTGCATCTGTATTTACTGGGTAAATTAATCAAGATACACTGTTGTCACGATCAAATTCTTCAAGATGTGTATCAGATGGAGCAACATTGTAATATTCAAATGATGGCTAACAGAAAACAAAAACAAGTAATAGGACCAATAAAAATCAACATAAAGTTCTTAATCACTGTGAGAATAAAATCAGAAATAGATAATAATATTAAAAGACATTTATAGCACACAAATAATATGCATCGTCTTGCTCATGGCAGCTTTTTAGATAAAGTTATCTAAAGCACTGTAATGTTCCTTATTCATTTTGTTTTATTACAAGTTAAAAATGCCCTAATCCTTTTTCAACTGTTTCTCATAAGGCTTGGTTTTCAAATCTCTTAATATATTGGTAGATTTCCTCGGAACTTGTTTCAGCTTTTGCCCAGAGTTGGACACAGTAATCCAATTGTAATCTAACCCAGTGGTTCCCAAACTTGGCAACTGGGAGTTGAAGTCCACAAGTCTTAAAGTTGCCAAGTTTGGGAACCACTGATCTAATCTATTGAAGTCCTAGATTAGTTATCAGCAATTAGTATCCTAAGAAAACAGGGCAATGTGCCAGGATTGACTTTTTCTTTCCACTTAAAAGCTGGCATCTTGCTTAACTTGGGGACATGCAGAGTAGAACTGAACTGTACAAAATCTGGATGCACTGCTTCCATAAATACATCCCCAGATTAACTTGGCCTATTTAGCTAGCTCATATTAAGCTAGTGGTCCATATGAGATATTCATTATATGCACTGCCACCAATGGATTTTCATGTACTTGAACTATGTACATTTTTTATACTTGTGATTCAAAAACCTAAATCTATTATTGGGCCAAATCTAACATAATCCTGTTGCATTTGATCCAATATTCAAGCTTTTGAGAATCATTTGAATTGTGATTTTGTTCTTAAGTTATTAGACAGTATCCCTAGCTTGGTGTCATCTGCAGATTTTATAAACATCTTTTTCATCCCATCTACCAGCTGATTTTTAAAGACATTGGCACCATTGGGCTTAGGATGGAGCCCTGAAAAACAAATTAAATTAAATTGATAAATTAAACCTTTAATTTTATACCCAATATATTTTTTGTTTTGCTTTTATGAATAGGAATTAATTGTTTATTTTGTCACTGAGAATGAAGTCATTCACGAGAACTGAAAATCTCTAGAAGCAGACAACATAGCTCAAACGCTTTTTTTATATATATATACTTAAAAGCTGAGGTGGATTTATGCTTTCTGGCCGTTCACTAAACAGTTACTCCCTTGTCTTGTTTACAAAATTATTGTGTGGATTATAAACACCTGTATAAACACTATGCCACAGATCTACACATTTCATATAATCAGGTGCCACCTAAAAATAGAACTTGATTTTAAAAGGAGAAGATTAGCCGACTTAGAGAAGGCATTATGGAGTCAAATGAGTACTTTAAGGCCTTTCTTGAGGCATTCGTTTTACCTTTAAAATGCTAATAAATTCCACCCCCACCCCCCATGAATAGAAAATGTTGGATGCTTGGTGGAAATTCTAGAAGTCTTAGAAATGCTGGGGAAAGATCATAGGTGGTACATTTGTCACAACCTGTGCATCTATATTGTATTCTATGAGAACACATGTATGTGTAGGCTACAATCCCAATTGTGAAGCCTTTCAGAAAAGATGTCTTTAGGCCTCAGAAGAAGCCTAACAGATGGATATATAGGGCGGTGGTCTTAGGTGATTACATGACATCATGAATAAGAAACATGTTGTGGTCTGCTACCAATTTGTGACACAGAAGTTCCTTTGCACAAAATAGAAAAAATGTTAAATAGTTACTCAAGCAAATAAGCATTTAAAGGAATCAAGTTGATTTTATCAAGTAACACTTGAAAAAAAAAGGTTTTAGATTATGTTTTTAGTCCATTACAGTAGCCCCTCCTCACCAAATATTTTCACTTGAGTGGCACTTTCCTGAATTCTTCCAGAGAGAGCGGCAATCGAACAGACAAACTTCTTGCCATCATCAATAACTGTCACCGGAGAAATCAATAACGCATTTTTGGAACTCATTTGGATTCTGTCCTTGTACACAGTGCGAGGGGCTGTATAGCCTTGAAGGTAATAGGATGGTTTTGTGATTAGGATCTCTTCATTTCCATTTTCTTTCTGCTAGAAATGGGAGATATGATGCATTGCCAAGAAAAAGCATGAATTATCATCATTTCTTTCTTTTTAATGTAATAGAAGATGCTGATGTAATAGCAATTGTACAATTGGGATAGGTGAATCACTGATNTAGCCAGGTCTTAAGGGCTGTGCGGAAGGCCTGGACGGTGGTGAGGGTACGACTCTCCACGGGGAGATCGTTCCAAAGGGTCGGAGCTACTACTGAGAAGGCTCTCAAATGTAGAATTTGACATCTACATTTAATGTTGGGCATTTGTTTTATACTAGTTGCAGTTAGAACATTTATTTTGCATTACCTTCAGATTTTTCATTCAGAATCTTTCCACCCATGTACCACATAAGTTTTGGCTTTGGATATGCCTTCTTTATCACACATGTGAAGCGTGCCTGAGTGAAAATAAATAGAAATCGAATCAGCAGTTCAAACAAATAGTATAATTGTTTTCACCTTGTCTTAAATTTGATTATCTGGGTTAATCCCCCTGATAAAGAAAATCTCATTTGAGCTGACTTCATGGTCACACCACTTTGGTTAATTTGGGGTACTTATAACTACTATTTGATTTTTTGAGAATTGTTTGATATTGGAGTTTGAGCTGTTTTATTATTTTAAGGATTTTTAAAGGGTATTTTTTTAACCATTGTTTAATAGCTTTTATTGTAATGCTTAAATTGTTTGTATCCAAGACATGGACTTGCTTTTTAAAAAAAAATTAATGAAAAGTAGTTTGTAATCCCAACAAGTTTGGAAGGCTAGAATATTATTATCCTGTTCATCCGTCTCCATCTGGTTACCTCCACTTCTATTTCCCTTCTGAAGTTTATTCACCACAATCAATTCTGCTGTCATCAATGATTGATGACAATGTATAATGTTTTCAGACATACATAAATATATAATAATGAAGAGTACTAGTTAGAATGACACAAAAAATTGCAGATATTAAATCTGAACACCTGTTCCACAATCCTCTTGACTATAGCATGCAGCATTGGATGTATAACCAAGCCACATAAATACCATATTTAAATAGTTATAACAGGAAGGAAATTAAAAACATTACTGTGGTTCTGTCTACCATGTGGTTTGGCTCCTGCTTACAGCTTAAAATCACAAGAGTCTCGTTCTTTATCAAGTAAGATGTTACTGCTTAGGTAAAGATGAAATATCAAGAAAACTGTAATAGACATGCTTACTAAATCTGTGCAATATTTTGTTGAGATATTTGAGGTACAAAATATAGTTATTGGAGCACAAAAATACTTCCATTAGTTTTACATAATTTAAAACCACATTTCAATCCCTGGACTATATAAACAATTACATTTATCTTCATAGATACTGAAGTTCTTCATGAAGACAATGGTTAAGAGGAGAGTGAGAAAAGAATAACAAACTTTCATTGGATACTAAAGCAGAATTTAAAATATCAGTCACAGCTACCTCTGGAGAATTATTTTATAGATGCTTAGCTCAGAATTCTACAAAGAAGAATTTAGGGGTAAATTAGAAAAGGTTCTTATCAGCCCAATTCTATCAGAAATAGGACACATCTCCCAAGAATATTATACTATTCTTCCAATTACCGATAGCATTATAAGTCTGTTTTAGGAAGCAAACAAGCAAACAAAAAAATAATTTTCCACTATGGTGGGAAACTATGGAAATTTTATATTTTCTGGCTATTATTCAAACTCAGAAAATATTTCTTAAATACATAGGTGGCCATTTAAAGAGGCTGTTTTCAGATACGAAGAAAACATATTCAAGGAAGCTTTGCAACCATCTTATAAGGGTCCTCTCTTTCACTTTTCTCTTTTCTTTTTAGGGCACTACTAGATGAAGGACTTCTATTCCTTCCTATTTTCTTTTCTCAGCCAAGTACAAATTCTTGACTTTTCTTGCACATCAAATTTCAAAAACATCCTAAGATTGAGAAAGAAAAACAGTAACTTTTTCCCCCAATGGAAGAAACTATTAAGAAATTAGAGGGCAAGTTTCAGAAAAACATAAAAATTATTATGCAAAATATACAAATTCTCAATTTACTTGTAAATTCGTTTAAAACTTTTAAAACTAATTTTTGCTTCTTTCAAGGCATAATATAAAATAACACAAACATTTACATAAATTAACCCACCTTTCCTTTGGAATCTGTATGGAACACAATAGAGATTTCTGGTTTTGCTGCAGCACCAAAGGGGGAAAAAAGACAAATTATACAGGATTTAATTCAGCACAAAGATTTTCTGTACAAAAAACAGTAGTTTATTTTATAGTTGAAAATATCAATTTGTGTTCCAAACAATAGAACATAGATGAAATCTATAACTAAAGAGTATGCAATATCAGGATTTCTTTCATATCCTGTTTGATTTAATATACATTATTTTAGTAAATTTCAAAAATATCTCTAATCAGTCTATCATGTGGTTTCCATGTCTTATTGTATTATTGCTTTGGATGCCTAGCATCTATTTGTACTTTTAAATGAATATATGTGTGTGTGTGTGTGTGTGTGTGTGTGTGTGTGTGTGTGTGTGTGTATGTGTATGTGTATGTGTATGTTTATGTATATGTATGTATATACATACATACATCCATCCATACATACATACATACATACATACACAAATACATACAAAGTCACAACCCCTG